ATTGGAGGCCTTTGAAATGTGGATCTACCGGAGAATACTCAAAATTTCATGGACATCGCATACCTCAAACGAAGAAGTGCTGCATAGAAAAGGCAAGGAGAGAGAACTTTTTAACACAGTAAAAGTTAGAAAAACATCATACCTAGGCCACATACTTCTTCTTCTTCTTCTGGTAGCACTACAACCGGGGTGGGTCTTGGCTGATTGCACAACTTGCTTCCATCTCGAACGGTCGTTCGAGATGGAAGGTTGTTATTTTTCGTAAGACTTTCATTTCTATTGTTTCCAGCAGTCTTTGTGTTTTCGCCGTATCTGCTCTTGTTTTCTCTGTGTACGGAATTATCGGTCTTATTGTTGATTTATATATCCTGGTTTTCGTTTCCGTTGTGAGGTATTTGTTTCTCCAGATTGTGTTGTTAAGACATCCTCCATGTTTTTCTGCTTTGTTTATTAATTATATTATTTAAAACCATGTCTTTGGATCAAGTGCATTATGTTCACAATATTTTTGTATTCTCTAAATAACGTTCTAAATTTCCTTACCGTTTTTCATCATCCCGAAATCAAATAAAAAGAAGAATCCCGAAAAGAAGTTAATATCAACACGCAGAAAGTTAAAAAAAAAATCAAAAGTTAAAGAAAAGAAAAGCGACGAGAAAGGTAGTATACAGACGAATAACTTACAGCCTTAATTAACAAAATATAAAACATAACAAAATATTAGAAGAATGGAGAACTAGCGAACTAATCCTATTATTCAAACTCAATAGATTCAAAGTTAATAAAAAAAAATATAATATACTTGTAGATATACAAAAAGTTTTGTTTAATTTTCGAGTTTATAATTTAAAATACATATAGTACATACAATACATAAGTAAACCATTGACCGAGATAATTCCAAGAAACCCTTATTTTCGCAGTAATTTATAAATGCTGGTAACTTTGTTTTTTTTTTATAATATAATATAATTACTTAAAATTACGGCTGAGTTATTAAACTGTGATAAACTGCAACTAGATCGACTAAACAGTTTGTTATTTAATTTGTTTATACCATAGAGCGATTATTTAAAGAACTGTACTTTCCCAAACAGTGACCCTAGAAATATTTATCAGATGGCAATCGATTCTTCTAGGCTTACATTTTAAAACATTTCATAAAAAAAAATTACATTAAATTCTTACATAAAAAAATTTCAACATTTTATCAAAATTGTTAAAAAAAGGGTTCAGTAGACGGTATTGTAGACTAACGCGAAACTTTGCATTAATCAACAAAATTGCTATTTTTACTATTCTTTTTACAATTTCATAACATTTTCAGTCAAATTTATATTCAGTAGCAGATTGTTGATGTATCATTTTTAAGTTTTTTAAATGCTTTATCGTATTCTTTATCAGATTTTTTAAGTTTATTATGAAATATTTCAAAAATCAAAATAACAAAAATGATGGTTAGTTTTGACAGTTTGTGACTTTTGTGACTAACAAACGGCTAGTCCTTTGTTAGGTATACAAATTGACTCTTCTGCTGTGATTGTATAAAAAATATCAAAATGTTTTAATAATAACCCTTTTTATCACATTGTAATACAGTAGTCGAACTGATAATTGCAAAAATTCAACATTGAATTTATATAAAACTATATTTTTATGCAATTATGAAAATATAAATATTTAATTATAATTTGATAGTAAATTTAATTATTATATAAACCAAGATGTTTAAAAATAACAAGTTATATTAAAAATATCTGTTTTCTGTATTTTTAAAATTTAAATAATATATCTAAAATTAAATAAAGTACACAAATAGTTGCACCCTATATACAAGGTCATTTATCTTCTTAGTAACCAGGTATGGTCCCTCTTAGAGTCGCCGTACCTTGGGACTTGGACCTTTCCAGAGAACTATTCTCTGACCTTTCCTTCTGTTTGGTTGGCAGAGTCAAATTGCATCACCTTCGTGAATACTTTAATCACTTCAAGGCAGTAACATTAACATGGATGTATTTACTATGTTGGTATATGTCTTATTCTGTATATTTGATGTTTTATTCTATACTATTAATGTATTCTCATCTCCTATTGTATTTTGTGTATGTTATATATTATCCTTTTTACTTGTACATATATTTGAGTTGGTATAAACAAATTCTTGTTCCTTGAAAGTAACAGGAATGGATTTCTGATTAAACCTAACTTTTATCTGGCCACTGACATACTCGGCGAGTATCTCTTGGTCCAATAGAAAGCTTCATCTCTCGACCAGTCATTAACATTTCTGAAAAGTAATCAGTTGCTTCATGTTGGAAGCTTTGGTAGTCCATCAGAAACAGAGGTACCAGTTTGCCCCAGTCTCTCTGGTTTTCAAACAGGAACAGGTAGTTGTTAATGGTCTGGTTATGTCTTTTTACCATAAAGCTCACTGAGGATGAAGCGATGTCGTCCTAGTCTTTTTAATTCCCAACCAACCCCTAACGAAAGTTGCGCCCCTAACGAAAGGAGCCCTCAAGCAGGGCCTCACTAACTGTGATTGCTTCTTGGTTGGGTAGTGCAACTACTTCTGGCCATTTGGAAAAATAATCCATAGCGACCATCAAATACTTGTTTGCTGATGTTGTTACTGGAAATGGTCCAAGAATGTCAACAGCATTAAGAACATTGATGTTCTTAATGCTCTTCAAAACTCTTCAGACCTGGCCTTCAGGTGTTTTAAAATTGAGGAGCCATTGCAAAGCGGAATCATCGGTTCTTATTAAGAATCTTCTGTCATAGAGGAACGAATGATAGTGTTCTACTGCTTTAATGACCACCAATACTGATTTGTGACACACTAGTTTTTTCTGCTTTTCCCAGAGTTTTACTGAAGTATCCCATGACGTGTTTTTTAACCTCCTGCATTTGCAAAAGCACCGCCCCGATGTCATTTCGAGAAGCATCCGTATCAAGCACGAGATACTCTTTTGACAATTAAGGCTTAAGTGTGGTGAAGACAAGCTGGCAATCGGCTGTCCAGTCAAATGGTAGTTCACTTTCAGTCAGGTTATGAAGAGGTTTGGCAATTTTTCCAAAATATTTTACGAAGCGATGATAGTAACTGGCCAAGGAAGTGTTTGTTTCTTGGTGTGGGCCGTTCTTGTACTACTTTTATTTTTACCAGGTCTACTGCAACTCCTAATGATAAAATAACATGTTTAAGGAAAGTAACTTTTTCAAAAGCTTTTATAGATTTTACATCGGATGTGATGTGTGAAGATGACTGAAGTTCTCGTTGTTTTTATGTCAACGAGAACTTCAGTCATCTGCACACATCACATCCGATGTAAAATCTGTTCCAGAAGAAACCTCATGGTTCCTAACACAATTTCGTGGTCAATGGTCATCTGTACCTATATATTTTCAACCTTCCTTTTTAATTTAGGTTTATAAAAATTTTACTTTTCTATTTTGTCCTGTTTAAACGAGTAACTTTTTTATTTAGTTGATTTTTCAAACAAAGTTTTATTTCCATATATAGGAAGCCATGCTAATTTTTGTTTTTATTTTCGCAATAGTCGAGCCCAAATTGGGGACTGTCGATAAATATCGATAAAACTAAATACATGGTGACCAGTAAAGCGGATATCGGCGCAACGCAACTGATATTAAACCAACAACCGCTGCAAAGAGTTCAGAGATTCAAATACCTTGGATGTTGGATTACCCAAAATCTAGATCCATCCTTCGAAATTCGATGTAGAATTGAACAGGCAAGAAACTCATTTCAAAAATTCAAGCCTCTATTATCCAATAACTCATTAAATTTGGAAATCCGTGAAAAATTTACAAGATGTTACGTGTGGTCGGCACTTTTATATGGATGTGAAACTTGGACTTTAAACGCCGATATCATGAATAAAATCGAGGCGTTTGAGATATGGTTGTAGCGAAGGATACTAAAAATTCCATGGACTAGCAGAACCAGAAACGAAGAAGTTCTTCGAAGAATGGGACATCAACGAACTCTATTAAATATTATTAAGAGGCGTAAACTAGAATATCTTGGACATATAATCAGAGGACCAAGATATGAGTTCCTTCGGCTAATTCTCAACGGTAAAATCGAAGAAAAGAAATGGATAGGACGGAAGAAACTCTCTTGGTTGATGAATTTGCGGCAGTGGACAGGTTTGACAGCGGACCAATTGCTACACGTAGCGCAAGACCGAGATCAGTATAACAATATTATAAGCGTGGTAGTCGCCGACGTTCCGTAGGGATATGGCACTCTAAGAAGAAGAAGATCGAAGATAAAGTATTTTTTGAACTCTAATAGGAGCCCTGAGATAAGAAAACATATGAATAAAAAAATTGGCGTCGTGAATAAAATTTATTTACATATTCGTAATAAAATTCATTCACTATTTCAAAATTATAATATCATATTAATTATATATATATATATATATATATATATATATATATATACATATATATATATATATATATATATATAATATATATATATATATACATATATAGACATATATATACATATAGTTAACTCCTCGTATAATTGACTTTTATTACACCTTATTTCTCAGCTTTTTAAATTACCGTTCCCCCAATTTTTTTGGCAATTTCCCTAAGGCTGTCATCGCCTTTTCTGAAATCCATCCGAAGTCCCTATCACGTCCAAACTTAATTTGGTACAATCTTGTTATATCAGGATTGAATTATATCCTGATGCGTCTGAGCCCGATAAAAAGAACTACCGCCTCGCAAATCGTTTCAGTAAGAAGCGCACGATTTTCCGTTCAAGTTCGGCAACTAAAATTGCATTCAGGTTAGCGCGCGCGGTATCGCGGGTTTCCCAACTTATTTCAGTCACCCACGCCAGTATTCCACTATCACACATTCAAGTAGTAGCTTCTCATGACCTGGTCTAATAGGTAGAACTGTTCGTATTAGAAAAACTTGTGTTTCGAAGCATGATAATCCGGTAAAAACTTTTTGTATAGACAATGGAAGGTCGGTTTACTTCAGGGGATTATGAGACCGAGCGCGGTATTGAGAACACCGGGTTCCAGCTGCAGGAAAGTGGTGAGCACATCAAGAACGGACACCCGGTGGTGAATCAAAACAATTCGTTACAAGTGCCTAAGAGGAAAAAGTCTTTAGTGCAGCTGACCAGAGAGGCTCTACCTAGATTAGAAAATTACAGGAATTCGAGGAAGGCTGTGAAACGGCCCAGTTTGGGAGAATTACATGAAGGAGAGGAATCGAAGGTAAGGGACATAGACTCAAATTGTTTTGTCAAAACAAAAAACAATAATAAACGAAAATTGTTGTTATTTTTTGTGACTCTTGCTGATTTTAACTAATTGATTTGTTTGTATATTTACATTTTTCAATAAAATGTTGCTTGTAGGCAAATGCGGTACTATTTTAAGAGTACTAAAATTTTTATTAACGTAAAATAATAACAGTTACATTAGTATACATATATTTAAATAATGTGCTGGCTAGAAGTTTTTATAGCCCTTGTTTAATTTTATTTATTTAACTAAATTGGTCTTCAAAGTTTTTATGTTTTTGTTGTTTTTTGTACAATTGAGAAGTTTGGCAATACTGAAATTATCAAACCTGGAAGAACCCATTTAAAAAAAATCTATTTTGCCGATAATAATTTTACTATAACCTAATGATAGGGTCTATTAAAAAATAATTTGGTTCTAGTAATTCTTATTGTTATTAAAAACCAATTTGTAGCATTTTGTTTATCATTTTTTCGTCCTAAATTTCAGCAAGATCTGTTTTATTTTTTTCACATTTTCTGTCTGAATTCATTTGACTCATATTAGACCCTCGTATTTTACTACGAAGTTCAACCACGATTTTCGACCTGCTGTTATGCCTTTTAGCCCAGTTTGGTTATGCAAAAATCATAGATTTCACGGCAAAATTTTTCACAGATATCTAAAGCTTTTAAGACATAGGAGGAGATAACTAGATGACAAATAGATGAAAATGTACTCGTATTTTTACCTTGCATTTTTTTAACAATTTATGGTCACAATTTGATATTTTGTCTATAAGCTTTTTTCCTTATATTTTACATAAACAATATTTATATCATTTTTTTATATTAATAATATCTTTATTTTCCGGTTTTTTAATTTAAAATTGATAAATAATTTACGGAGATATTTGCAAAAAAGCAGTTTTTTTGCACTAATTTATAAATTTTATTATTTTTTTTTATTAACATCATCATCATCATCTTGGTGCTAAAGCCCTTAGAGGGCCTCGACCTTCTCAAGCGTTCTACGCCATTCCTTTCTGTCCCTTGCTTGCATTTTCCAGTTGCCACTCCGATCTTCTCCGCATCCATCCACCTCAGCCTTGGTCTACCCCGTCTTGTCATTCCCAAGGGTTGCGCTGTTAGAATCTTTTTTATTGTGTTCCATTTAGGGGCCCGGGCTACATGTCCTGCCCACTGAAGGCGGTTTCGCTTAATTATAGTGGTAATATCTTTACCACCAAAGGTATGCTTGTAGATATTCTGCAGTTCAAAGTTATATCTACGCCTCCATATTCCGTTCTCACAGACCGCTCCGAATATCTTGCGTAGCACCTTTCTTTCAAAAATCGCTAGACCGGATTCATCTGCTTTAGTTAGCGTCCATGCCTCTGATCCGTATGTGAGAACGGGGACTATCAGTGTTCTATACAGCCTTATACGAATTTTTTGAGACAGACGTTTGTTAGCTAAATACTTTGATAGACCATAATAACACCTGTTTGCAATTATTATTTGCCTTTTTATTTCCTTAGATGTGTTATTATTGGGGTTAACTGATGTCCCTAGATATATGAACTCTTTGACTGCTTCGAAGTTTTTGTTGGTTGATTTGCGTCAACATTTCCAGCTCTTGTGTTTGTGTTAGTCGCCATGAATTTGGTTTTATTTTGATTTATATGTAACCCCATTCGTTCTGCTGCTGCTACTAGCTCAGTTAGGATTTCCGCAGTTCTCGCCCTAGTTCTTGTTATAATGTCCTCGTCGTCTGCATATGCTAGAATTTGGACTGATCTATTAAATATTGTTCCCCTGCTATCTAATTTAGATAGCAGGGGAACAATATTTAATAGATTAGTCCAAATGATTGTTTCAAATCCAGTCCAAAATATTTTTTATTAACAAAATAAAATGTTTGAACATCGAGGAATTACCGTTTTTTAATTTTGTGCAAAATTTCCCCCCGATCGGTCAAATAGTTTAAAAGTTATTTAATTTATTTATCCCTGAGGCTAAATATTTAAACTATTTTTTTGAACCTATTCTCTATCCTTCCATTGTTGGATATAGGTCTCCCCCAGTTCTCTCCATCTTTCCCTATCTTGAGCTGTTTTCTGCCAGAGACCTCCTTGTTTCCTGATGTCATCTTTCCACCTCATCTGTGGTCTGTCTCTTGATCTCTTTGCATTGTATGGACGCCACTTTCCGATGGCATTGTTTCATCGTCCGTCTTGGAGACGTTCATTGTGTCCAGCCCATTTCCATTTCAGTTTTGCTGCTTGTTCTATCGCGTCTACTGTCTTTGTTCTGGTTCTGATCCACTGGTTACGTTTTATATCTCTAAGTGATACACCCAACATTTGTCTCTCCATCGCTCTTTGTGCCTTCCTTATCCTATCCAAATTGGCCTCTGTAAATGTCCACGTCTGTGCTCCGTAGATGAGCACCGATATTATACAGGAGTTATATACCTTGCTTCGTAAGTATAGAGGGATTGTTTGATTTTTTAGAACGTAAGAAAGTTTGCCGAACGCTGCCCATCCCATTCTTACTCGTCTTGATATTTCGGCTGTTTGATTTTCTCTATTAGCTCTGATTGCTTGTCCTAGATAGATATACTCATTTACCTGTTCTATTTTTTCTGTTTTTATTTTTATTGCCTCTTGGTCTTCTGTGTTTGTCATTACTTTTTTTTGTTGAAGTTAATTTTTAGGCCTTTTTGCAGAGATTTTTCATGAAGTTCATTCAGCATTAATTCCAGTTCTTGTCGTTCCGAGGAGATCAGGAGTATATCATCCGCATATCTAAGGTGATTTAGGTATTTTCCGTTAATACATATTCCTCTGTTTTCCCAATCTGTTGATTTTATTATGTCTTCGAGGGTCAAGGTAAACAGTTTAGGTGAAATTATATCGCCTTGTCGGACTCCTCGTTTAACTTTTATATTATCCGTTAGTAATTTGTCGTCCAGAATTACGGTCATGGTTGCGTTTTGGTAAATATCATGTATCAATTGTCGGTATCTTACAACCGACTAACCTATAAACTTGATAACTACCAACCAGTGGAACAGGCCGGATTCAGAAAAGGATACAGCACAATCGACCATCTACATGCGCTTAAAATCTTAATTGAGAAGACCAATGAATACAACCTTCCGCTGTACTTAGCATTCGTAGATTATGAAAAGGCTTTCGACAGCATTGAACACTGGGCGGTTGAAGAAGCTCTGGTCAATAGTAGAATAGATTCAAGATACCGACAAAAACTATTAGCAAACTTCATAATATTCTTGAAGACTTAAACTATCTCAGAAGTTAAATGCATATTACATTTTCATCGAAGTTATTTACAAAATAAACGTTTGAAAAAGGAGTATAAGGAGTATGTTTTTTACTTATAAACAATTGTAATAACTTCTATATTTGTCAAGGTACAGACTTGTACGTACAACCATTGGATAGCTGGTAAAAAACTCACTTCAAAAAAATATGATTAATAGGAACGAAGGTGGGGACTTTTTAAAAGACAATCATATCTCCATTGTTTATAAACATTAAGCAGTACAATTTGCTCAAATTTTGAATGTAAATTTAAACTTTATATAATATAAAATTCATCCGATTTTTCGAGACACATCCCTTCCAAACGAGGGTACTTTCGAAAGATCGACATAGGAGTGTGGAGGGGATAACTGTTTCAGCTCCGTTTTTTTTTTCGAGATCGGAACTTCAAATTAAAACACGTAAGAAAAATTTACATTTTGTATCAATGATGTAATAATACTTATATATTTTATAAATTAAATTTCAGGTAATTTTTTACACATTATATTATTATATTCCTTATATTAATTATAATTATTTACTACTTTGACGATATATATATGTTCATATATGTGTACAGGTATATGTACAGTACAAGGACGGTAAACACATTTATTTATGTTTTTAGATCTAAATATCTCCAAAGATCAAAGAGTATACTATCCTTGTGTCCCTACATTTTATATGTATTCATGTGAATAGGAGAAAGGTCATCTATATAATAGAAAACTGGTAAAATATCTTAGTCTGCGTAAAAAAGGCGGGATGAGTAGCAGTGGCCGCGCTGCAAAATTTCGTCAAAATAATCCCTAACTTCGTTCGTATTGGTCATAAAAGGTTTTTTTAATATGAGTTTTTTTACTAGCTATCCAATGGTTGTACGTATAAGTCTGTAGCTTGAAAAAATAAGTTATTACAATTTTTATCAGTAAAAAACGCAACCCTTTTTCAAAAGTTAATTTTGTAAATAATTTAGATGCAAACGTAATCTGCATTTAACTTCTGTGATAGTTTGTCCTACAGAATCCTATAAAATTTGCTAAATGTGTCTAGCATCATAAATAGAGTAGGTTCAATAGTTTAAATATTTAGCCTCAGGGATAAATAAATTAAATAACTTTTAAACTATTTGACGATCGGGGGGAAATTTTGCACAAATTTAAAAGACGATAATTCCTCGATGTTTAAATTTAAATATATTAATAACATTTTATTTTGTTAATAAAAAGAGGTAGAGATAATATGTAGATGATGTATTCTCAATATGGCATCATGATTCAGAGTTGTTGGACACACTCCTGAATGATATGAACGATAAAGAAGAGACAATAACATTTACCATGGAATAGGAATATATTAACACACCACCTTTACTAGATATTTTAATCTCTAAGAACGATACTAAATCTACTTATAGATATGAGACTATATGTATAGAAAATCAACATACATTATCTAAATTACAAATAAAATCACAACATTTAAATTAAAAAGGGAATCATTACATTTTCATACGATACATAGTCCACTTGTCAGAGAGTTGACCCCTAAAAATCATACGAACAAGCTGAGTTTTGTAAAGAATATTGAGCGTCGAGGTCTACCGGTTTTTCTTCTTCCAGGGGGCTTCCATCTGTGAAGTTTTTGGGACCAACGTTCG